TTTATGCTATCGGAGCATTTTAACTGTATTGTTAAGCAACTTGTATTGTATCATTGCACAAAAGTCTGATTTGATGCACAAACTGGACAGTTTGTCAGTCTAGAGGAAAAGCATGTGTGTTCACTGGGCCATTTGTAATCCCATGTTCGACAGGCTGAATGTTTGGCATGACTCTTCGTTCATATCTTTGTTTTCTACTTTTATTATCTTGTTGTCTATGGATAAAAAAAAAGTCAGATTAGTGTGAAAACTGAGGCGTAGAAGTAGTTGACCAGCTGCAGGACATTTGGTCGCTTTGTCAACATATGGAACAATGTGTGACTGTCTAACATGTAAGGACAGTAAAGGGTGATTGTATCAAAAGATGTGGAGTGGAAGTCACTGATACTTTGCTGCATCATGTATAAAATCATAACTACATCAGCTGTCAACATGACATGTGCCTCATGTAACCCGTGAGGAATCTATGATCTGTACAAATATAAAAAAACAGAATCAAAACAGAAAGTAAATATCAGGAAATATGTTCTGTGAATTCAACCATGTTTACAACTGCCCTGTCTCTCCACAACAGCCACTTCAGATCAGTATATGTTTGAGCCATGGTAAATATTTAAACTCCACAGTAATGTCTAACACAACATTAAACTAGTTTCCCACTGATATCGGTTGCAGTGATAAAAAACATATGTGGGGTGTTGATAGTAACCTGATCTTTAAAATTGTACTGTGTCTACATTAGAAAAATGTATTTGTACTTAGTCATAAATACTTCTAAAATTCTTACGAAACTGCAAAGAATATTAAAAGTCCTGGCGATGGCAAACAGGAAATTTGAATACTCTAATAGTATCGATGGTAGACCTTTACCACCCACTGAGCTTTACATACCAATGCTAGGGAAGTAATAACAAGCACAAAAATTGCTCCTGTCAAAATCAATTAGAAAACTGAATTGCCCACGTCTTCCGCCCAGCTCTGCTCTTGTCATCATTATTTTGGTAATTGTCTATGTCGTTCATAATTGTGTTGTTTTTCTGAGGGTGTGTAATGTACAGTGTAGATCATGTAAAGGACCAGATTCTCTTTTACCACTTGTGTGTTAGAGTAGGTTTTTGTTTTATGTTTGAAATAACCACAACTAGTTTTCTGCTGCCACCTCAATAAAACAGAGGGGAATACAGGTGAATGTTCTTAACACAGCAATTGCCGGTCTCAGTTACTCAGAATAATCCATACCTATCACTTAACGTTTGAATTGTACAGTCAGCAAAGTTGGACAAATAAACATTAACTTAGAAGATCTGTAGTATATCATAAAGATAAGATTATCATATTACAGACTGGTGGAGGTTTGATTTCTTCTCCGTTTTACAGGAACATGATCGGCTGTGAAGGCCTGAACGGGTGAGAGCCTGAGAGCTGGCCGCTCCAATGGCGTGGATCGAGCCCCGGTCGCGTCCAGACGCAGAGCGGGAACAACAACTGACACCTTACAATCTCAGGACACAAATATCCACACCAGCGTCTTCATCAACCATTCCTCAAGTCCAGCCTTCAATTTTAACACCCGTCCTCATCCTCCTGCTCACTGCCTTTGCAGACCTCTGTATAGCTGGTCCACCCCAGCCAGCCCGCCCCCCTCTCCTGTCTGGACAGCCTTTCATCATCTTTTGGGGCATCCCCAACTCGGCCTGCTCCAGTAGGACAGATCCCAGATCTTTTGGGATGGAGCAGGAGGGCCGGGTGGCTCTCTTTTACGAGGACACGCTGGGGAACTACCCGTATTTTGTAGACAAAGACACTCCGATTAATGGGGGTCTACCACAGCACACACGACTTGATAACCACCTCCAGAAGGCACAGCAGGACTTGGAAGCAGCTTTACCTGCACCGAGGTATCTTGGGCTGGGGGTGCTGCGCTGGGCAGAGTGGTCCCCCCAGTGGTTCAGGAACAGAGAGAAGCAAATTATGTATCTGGAAGCATCGAGGAACCTGCTGAAGAATTTCTTCCCTAACTGGAGCCCAGAGGAGGTGGAGAAGTGGTCTCAGGTAAGATGAATAGAATACAGGTGAAGAGGACAATAACAACAATGGAAAACTACAATTGTGCAAGAAATAAATGGGAGATGGGTGGTGAAGGATCATGGGCGGATATTGGTAGAACATAGTAAATGGTCTGTTTTTATATAGTGCTTTTCTAGCCTTGATGACCACTCATAGCACTTTACAGTAGCTTTTTTTTGCCATTCAAACATTCACACACACATTCATACAGTGCATGACACTAGCCAAGGACACTTAAGAAAGGGAAAGACTGGGATCAAATCACAGACCTAAGAGGACAATCCCCTCTACCCCCTGAGCCACAGCCACCCTTAGTTACTGGCTTATGGTCGAGCAGGTAGGAAGCTAATTGAAAAGAAAAACACCTTCCACAAGTGTTTCTCCTTCAGTTAAGAGACATCATCTGATGGAAAATGCAAATATTGACTGAGATTTTATCATTAATAACATGACTACAGTCCCATGACATCAAAGACTCATAATTATGGAGACTATGATATTTAAAAGTTATGCTGTGGACACCAAGAAAGAAATGGGAGGAGGGAAAAGAGATAAAGTTATAAAGTGATGTGACAGGGTGAAGCAACATGAGGACTCCACTCAGTCAGAAAGCGAAGGAGGAAGAGTTTGTGTATAATATATGTAAACAATGTGTCTTTTTACTCATTGTGTGTAAATATATATATATTTATTTTTTTATCACAACCTAAGTCTTGGCAACATAATGAAAAATAATGCAAAAGTATTAACTATCCTATAACTCTACTCCTGCATTAAAGCAGACATGCTTTCCGATCTGTTACATCACGTCACACTGGCCCGGATAAAACCAGACAAACGAAAATTACAGTTAACTCAACAGAAACACTTCTAAATGTGTCTGTCACTAATTAAATTGGTGTGTCCATTTCAAATATCCGAGGAGGCTGAAAGGTGATCTTATTGATCTTGTCGCAGGTGGACTTTGAGGCAGCCGCGCAGGCGGTAATGATGGAGACGTTACGGGAGGCCAAAAGATTACGGCCCAAAGCATTATGGGGTGTCTCCCCTTATCCCAGCTGCTACAACGGCGACCCTGCCCAAACCATGTTAGCCAATTACACCGGCCAGTGCCCTGCTGCAGAGATGGCCCTTAACGACGAGCTTCTGTGGCTCTGGAAACGAAGCTCCGCCCTCTACCCGCTCCTCACTCTGGAGAAGCTGCAGGTGGGCAACATGACCAGCTGATGTGAAATAATCAAAAGTAAAAAGTCATGAAAGGAGCTTTAGCGTCATAAAAAAATATATGATCATTGTCCTTGTGAAACTTGAACTGAGTTGCAAATGTGTGCAACATGTTTTCCTTTTCTAGGGCGGGACTTCAGGAGCCAGACTTTATTTATCCAGTCAAATAAGAGAAGCACTGCGAGTATCATCTCTGACTGGGATGACGTTTGATCTTCCTGTATTCCCACTGGTCAAGAGCGTCTACACCTCAACTAATACCTTCCTCTCACAGGTGATGTTTAATATCTGACACATCTGCTGTATCAAGTATTTGATGCAGATGCACCATACATTTCAACAAGTACATTCCCATAGTATCATGGCCCCGATTATTTAATGGCTTCATATGTAGAAATGATAACAAAGAATGTAATAGAATGTAATAGTGCATATACTGTCTTTCTGCATTGATGTAAACCTGCTTAAATTAAAGCTTGACAAACTGATGCTGCTGATGAACTGAAAGTGTTAAAGCTCACAAAACAAAAGTGTGTGACCGTCCACATGCTGCTCTCTGCAGACAGACCTGGTCAACACCATAGGAGAAAGTGCTGCATTGGGAACAGCTGGAGTTGTCATCTGGGAGAGAAATGAGACTAAAACAGAGGTACACACATAAGTACACACGCACAGACACACGCACACACACGCACACACACACCTGCACAATAATCCGTATTTATCCTTGTGATAATATCCTCTGCCAAGGAGGTTTTGTTTTTTGCAACTGCTCGTTGATTTGTTTTTTCAGCAGGATTTCACAAAAACAACTGAGCAGATTTCCACGAAACAGGAACATGGGGCAAGAAAGAAAATAATGGAATAATATTTGGATTTGGTTGAAAAAATATTGCCTGGTCTCTCTCTGTGTGCAGCAAAACTGAATTTAAGGGGAATGATGGGCTTTGGCGGAAGTATGCGTTCTTCTCAATGCCAATCTAGTTCTCTATTTTTTTGCCCACCAGACTTCAGTATATAAAAACATATTTTTCTATTTCAATTTTTTCACAACCTACTTATGTTTTACAAATGCTCTTTTTCTTCCAGCAGCTCAAACTATGACATGATAGGTTTAAAAGAAAAGAAAAAAAGGAGATGTGTTTTATAAATCAACCGGTACCACTGTCCCTGCTTCCTGTTGAAATCAAGCTATCTGCCTATTTGTTTCCCAGAGAGAGTGCCAGGACCTGGCAGAGTTTGTCCGCAAGGTCCTGGGACCATATTCCATCAACGTAACCACGGCAACTCGACTCTGCTCAGCTTCTCTGTGCCAGGGAAAGGGCCGATGTGTGCGTCAAAAACCAGAAAGCTCCGCCTACCTCCACCTCCAGCCCCCGACTGAAGTAGTTGAAAAGGTGACGGAAAAGGTGGGAGAAAGTAAATTTTACCTGATTTCAATGTTAACTCTGGATTATGAAGCACTCTATTCCCAGCTATGATTAAAACTGTGCAGAGGCACAAATGTGCAGATGCTGACAAACGTCCGTTTAACCTCGTTCAGATATAAACCAGACTCTTTCTGTCTTTGGTCTCATTTTGGCAAAGTCATCAAAGCAGCTCTGTGTCATTCGACAAAGGCATGACACAACCCAATGCTTGTGGGGATCTTTCAGTCTTACACCAGACACATTTACTAGAGTTTCTAGTTAATTAACTAGATAATGTTCTGTTTTAGTTAAAAGGATTGAAAAGTGGTCTTTTTGAGAGCTACGATTAATGGAGCTAAAAATCAAACTGTTACTGCAGAACATTATGAATATATATACTTTGAAATTAGCTTTATATTATTTACAATTCAGTTTTCAGACAGATATTGTAAACTCTTTTATTTTCTCAGATATTTAAGGCAACATTTTTTGCTAATGTGAATGTTTTTTTCTATCACTCTTTACAGGCAGAAGCAGCAAAAGCCACAGATCAGCCGGACACAGACACTAAACCAGCTGAACCAGCTGAACCAGACCCAGCTGAGATATGGAAGAACGATTTCCAGTGCCAGTGGTACAAGATCGCAGACGGAGACGTCTCCGACCGACTGCCCCCCAAAGACGGAACATCTTTTGGGGGAACAGTAGAAGTAAACACAGGAGACGTTGTGGGAACTACAACTGCATCTACAATAGCTTCTATAACGAAAGGTGCCTCTGCGACTGAGCTAAGAAGAAGCAGTTCAGTGGATACTGTGAGTCCATCGCCTTCACTGGAGGTACCTACAGGCCGTGGTACGAATCCCCCGAGTGCCCCACACCTGACTGTTCTGCTGCTGCTGGTGATTGGACGTCTGTGCCTAGAACCTTAAAATGTGAATAAACCTGCCTTCACCAGGAAGGTCTGGGCTAAAATGGCCCTTCCTAAGTGCCCTTGAGCAAGACACTGAATCCATGCTTTGCTGCAGATGTGCTGCTTTGTAGCTGAAAATGACTTTTTTGAGCATCAAAAGAAGAAAACAAGTCCAGACGGAGTCCTAGAAGTCCAAACTTATCACTGGATGTGCCAAGAGACAGTAGTATAAATACTGGCTGTATTATAACCTTTTTTTCCTGAAAGGAGAAATAACATTCCAGACAATTATTTTGATTCTGATTATTACTGTCATGTCAAAACAACAGTCTTCCCAACCACAGATACATGAAAGCAGTCTGTAAAAACCTTCAATGAGGTTTTATGTTCTTTCTTTATTTACTTGTCAGTGCTTTAAACAACAGATTAAAACCTGGAGAAGATGAAACAGAAACTAAAATGGCACTGAGTGATTGTATACATCTCTGCCAAGGCCTTACAGTCCGACACGATTGTGTGGCTCTTGTAGAAATTTAAGGAAAAAAGGAAGAGGACTGATACTAACTTATCTTGTTGTCATTAAACATTAAAAGAAAGTGGAAACATTTTTATCTGCATCTACACCCATCCTCTACTACATTTGGCAGAAACTTGTTGAGTAGTTTTTGTGTAATCCTGCTAACAAATAAACAATCAGACGCAGGTACATAAAAACACACTTGAGGTAAATGTTAACTGAATGAATTATTTTGTAATTTGGGTGAACTGAAGTACATGACTGACTTTGAAGATCTGTTGCCCATATTTTCATTTGTGCATTAATTTTGAGTTAAACGTCTAATAGACAGATCTCTGAGATTTCATTTAAAGAGAATTTATGTAAATTTTGGCATACAAATGTTTCATATTCTCAAAAACACCCGGACTATACATTGGTGGATTTTTATCACTATGAGGTAAATGACTGCAAGAGACATATGTGCTGAGCTGCAGATCTCTGGCACCATTCATCCTCTGTGAAATGTCACAGAAGGAAAAGCACAGACGTAAACAATGAAATGAATAATGGCTGGATTCCATTTAGCTGCTTGCGTTTCAGGGTGCTGGTACTGTGCATGCTGGCTCACTGTCACACTGGCATGGCTTACTGGGACATTTTAATAGCAAAGACCCATCAATAATGTTATCAGTGACACCGGTGCTTTTGCTACAATGGTAAGTCAAAATGTCTGATTCCCCCCAGCAGGTAATGAAGGCTCCTTTACATATAATATTGGCTATGAATGCAGTATCTGTTCTTTGAAAGACATACCTCTGAAGAAATAAAGACAAAAACACATAATAAGTCAGCATTATTTATGTATATATATTTTTATAAGTCAGTGTTGTTTATATCTTGTCTCTTTCTCACCCATATCCTGCAGTGTTCCCTGAGGCAGTATCTAGTACAAAAGACTCAAATGTTTGTTTTTGCAGCTCATGTAAATTTATTTGTTATTTTTCATTAAAATATACACTCAAGACAAAGGGTATCTAAATCATTTTTAGTTACAGAAAGAGATCATATGTACACGGGTGCATCTGATTGTAAAACTGAAAATCCATGAATCATACATTTATATATATTATGAACAAGAAAGTGACATTTCCTCTCATGTCAGATGCTTAAATTTCAACTCTCTGGACAGTTTTACCTTCATCTGTAAAAGATCAGTTCATCTTTACAGCCTTGGACATGTTTGAGTTAATTTCAGTATCATCCAGGGAACCAGGATTATCACTAACTTTTATATGAGTTTTTTAATGATGCTCCCCCCCCTCTTTGAATTCTCCCCTGAAAATGTTCACAAAATATGGCTAACGACTTTGAGGAAATGTAACACTTCATGCAATCGGAGCTTTCTGTGTAGCCTACAACATGATCTTTACCCACAGTAGTGAAACCACATGCAGAGCTGCATGTAGAGACACTTTAGACTTAGATGTTGCTGCTAAAAGCTCCACTTCCAAATGTGTCGCTTTGAAAAGAAGTTCATTTTATAGTAGATCGAGGCATCAATTTTATGGCCAAGAATAAAACGTACTTACTTTTCCTGCACTATTGCTCCGTTTTATAAATATTCCAAAAGCTCTGAAGTGTTCCATAAAAGAAAGCATCACACCACACCTTTAACACAACTCAAGCCAAATTACATCCTGCCTGCCATCAGTAATAGGTACATGTGCATAGATCTACTACATGTACAATGATTTACTACAGCTCTACCCTCCAGTGCAATGACAGAAGTACCACAGTCTCTTCATTAAATCAAGAAGAATGCTCAGTAAGAGCACATGGCTTTAGTCGGTAAGCAGGAGACAGTGCTGTTGTTCAGTGACTCTAACACTGACAAATACTCACTTTCCAACTTGATTTTATGTGATGTGAGTCCACGTTAGTTCAGATCCAAAGGCTGTGTCCCGACTCCATCCAGTGATAGTTCCTGATTCTTGTTGTAACATTACCAAAATGTTTTTGCCTCCAATGGTTGACGATTAGCAGCTAATTTAATTCACTGGCTTTGCCGACAACAATTCATCAAAAAGAATTTAATGGATTGTTTTGAAATTGATCTCTGCTAAGGGCTGTTGCACACTAGAGGATTTTCAACTCTTGACTAATTTAAAAACATGGGAGACCACAGACATAATGACAGATTAAACCGATTTTTAATCTTATAATCTTCAGAACACAAACACACAGACCACATGCTTGCTGTCTGTTGGAAACAATTTCACAGTGGAGATTCCAGAGACTTGAAACCTCACAGAACCTCAATATCTTCTTCTTCTTCAGCCTTCTTTATGACGGATGGCAAACCACTTTTAGGCGCATTCCTGCCACCTTCTGAACTGGAGTGTGGAACACTCGCGTGATTAAATGAGACTTCAGAAGAAAAACAAATGTCGAAGTGTCAACTTTGCAGACAAAAAAAAAAAACATAGCTCAGAAGGCAGCACGAGCTGGAAATGAGTTGGAAATTAAGTGTTGTGTTTAGTCACAAATGTACAAGTACACAACATCCAGTTGGTGACGCTTCCCAGCTGGCTCGCTCTCTGGCTCTCTCTCGTGCTATTGCAGGTTTCTGCCGCGGCCAGTTCGAGATCAGGTAGGCTCTGACTCAGTCGGTAGCATTACGATTATTTTATAAACCCTGCGCACTTGAGGATTATTTGGGCAGATAATCGGCACAGAGTGACTTCCAGTCGGGAATGCCCCCGCGATTGTCTGAAGGTGCAAATAGGTTCAAAAACCAGCCTGATTATCCTCTAGTGTGTAGCAGCCAGAATGCAGTTTTTATTTCTTGTAAATTGACTGAATTCATGAAGGGTTTACACTTTAGAATTCATGAGTATGTGAAGCTTTTCAAATATTTAAAGCCACTGTGAAGAAGATATTTTTCTGGTTAGGGTTTCAATAACATCTTAGATTGCACAGACACTGAAGTGAGTTTTCAGCCCAAATGATTCATGGTGCTAACCAAACAAATTAGAGAAGCAGCTGTGTAATTTAAATTTCGTTTTTTGTTAAATTGATGGACAGTGTGAGAGGATCTGAGGGAGAAAAGCGCTCAGTCTCACTCCCAGTCTCATTACTCCTGACAAACAGCCTCAAGCAGCAGTTAAACCCCAAATGCTCCAGTGGAGCTGGTCAGTGGCCTCCAGTGGAGAAATCTAGCAGAGCCGGTCAGTGATACAGAAGCACTGTTTTATTTTTTTGTAAAAGCATGCACTAGAAAACAGAATAAATAAAAAAAAAAAAGGCAGACAGACCGACAGAAAGATGTGATGTGTCGCTCAATTCATTTATTCCCCAATGAAAGAATCTGATCTTTGTTTGCATAAGATTAAAAAACAGACTTTCTGTTCCTGTGCAAAAGTCACTGTCTTCTGAGCAGTTTGTACGGTCCCTCTTCATAACCCAAGAGAGACACAGAGAGAGAAACATCGCCCCCATGTGGAGAGGAAAGGTTAGTGCAATCTGAACCAAGCGGTCTGGACGGATAACAACACACTTCCTCCTGTAGAGTGGGAACAGCAGGCGTCTATTCCCACATCTTTGTGTGCGTCCTTATATGTGTTTTCAGGGCACTTGGCCAAGTGTCTCCAAAAATGGTTAATCTTCAAGATTTTATCTGAGGAAGTGAAGTTGCTTTAAAAAAAAAAAAAAAAAAGCTGAGACCCTAGAGAAAATCAAGCGCAAATCATTTGAGATCGCACAACACAAACATGGCCACCTCGAACAATGAACAAGCGGAGGGACTATGAGCGCCAATCATCCAGCATGCCTAGTAACAGTGGTTCAAGGACTCCAGTGGTGCACTTAATCTTCACCGCAGTATGTGTGTGGTACCTGCAGATGGGTGGAGTTACTTGTAGACAGCCTCGTCCAGGATGTGCTTGACGATGGATCTTTCCAGCTGGGATGTGTTTTCATCCCATACATGCGGGTTACTTGCAAATCGCCTCAAGAGCGTCCAGGGTGCGCTTGATGTCACGGATCTGCGCGGCCAGGGTGTGTATAGGCTGCATGGAACGATCCAGCTCCTCACAGCGAGCCATCAGCGTGTACATACCCTGTGGTATCACATATAATAGGCAGACAATGAAAAAGCTGCTTTAATATACAGTAAACACATCAATAAGGATTAATAACTTGAATCAGATAGAAAACAAAGAATCCCATACAAGGTCCATTACTTGTAATCACGTTATTGACAACACCGTTAAAAAAGTCCTGAGAGTGAATCAAGCACAACCTATTATTGATTAGTGTCGTTAATAAACTGACTAATGGACGGTGGGAGGGGACATTTTTTGGGGGTTGCCTACTATGACCTCATGTAAGAATTTGAGATATCTTAATAATCACAGTGCTGACTTGATTTGCTGACTATGTCACCTTTATACTCATGTCCACAGATTCTCCCAGGCTATCAACAGAGTCTCTGTAGGTCTGGATGTAGCCCACACTCAGAGCTGTCATCTGGATGGACAGACAGATGGACAGAATCAATCAGTTGCACAGACGGACGAAAAAAGGCATGAGGGTGAGAAATATGCTTGTGAGGCAGAGATTAATCTGTGTATGTGTGTTTGTGTGTGTGAGAGAGAGACAAGAAGGTAGGAGATTTTGTGAGGGAGAGACAGTTGTGTGTATACTTAAATTTACATCATCAAAATAAGAATTTAGGAAGGTAAATACAGTCTGTACAAGAACTGTCTCATTTGAATACTCACATTCTGGATGGTTCCATTGAGGCTTCGCATCATCATCTCCACACTCTGCGCCACTTCCTGTGTGTGTCTCTGAAGGTCCATTAGGACAGATGGATCAATGGGTGGGATATCTGCTGGTCTCCGTGACAACCCCCGACTTCGGTAGATGGGCCCAGAACAGTCCGCTGGGAAGAAATAATGATGAAATTAGATGCATCATATACAATAATAGGTCTGCAACTAATTGTTAATTTA